TCCTTGACTGTGATCCCCATCACCACTGTCCACTTCAGCTGCCCACTACTGGGACCACAGGAGGAACTCGTCCTCGACTAGCCATGCTCACAGCACCTCTTTCCAACGCTCTCTTCTACCACCTCAGGATACCTGTTTCTAGAACTCCTCGAGTCTCTTGCTTGCCTTCTCCCTTTTCATCCAGTCTTTCATCTCCTTCTCTGTTCAACCTAGACTCTGTGGCACAGTAATTACTGCAGCCATCTTCTGCTCATGGCCCGTAGTTTCAATCCCCTTGTTCTCTCTTTGACCATATCTATCTGGGAGAGTTTGAGGGGAAGTATCTAAATCAAACTGCAGGCACAGAAGTCCAGGGAAGCTTCTTGAAATTGATGACACTTGACCTGCATCTTGATGGCCAAGTGAAAGTGAAAGAGAGTACATGTAGAGCATATGTAAAAGCACAAAGTAGGGGAACAGTGGGGCTTACCTGGGGAATGACATGTGGTGTATGTCTAGAGCAGGTACTTAGCCCTGCGTGGACAGGAAGTTAAATTGCAGGTGCAGCCCCTTCAACGCATGGGGATGGGCCTTGGGCACCAGGCCAGGGAGATTTATCATCTTTATAACTATGAAGAGCAGTAGATAGGTTTTTTAAAATGGCTTTTAAGTTATGACAGTAATGCATACTTAAAGAAAATAGGAAATGCTAAGAAAAGCAAAAAGAAGGAAATAACAATTGCCTTTAATTCAATTACCCAGAACTCACCACTCTTAAGATTTTGCTGGGATTTGTCCTTTTCTTCTATGCATATTCTTACCTAATTGAGAGCATGCTATGTAAGTAAGTTTATATCCTGCCTTCACACTTAACAGTATAACTGGTTGGGTGCAGTGACTCACACCTGTAATCCCAGAGCTTTGGGAGGCTGGGGCAGGGGCAGGGATCACCTGAGGCCAGGAGTTCACGACCAGCCTGGGCAACATTGTGAGATCCTGTCTCTACAAAAAAATTTAAAAATTAGCCAGGCATGCTGGTACATGCCTGCAGCCCTAGCTAGTAGGGAGGGTTGCACCCAGAAGTTCAAGGCCGCAGTGAGCTATGACAGAACAAGATGCTGTCTCTAAAAAAATTAAAACAAACAAACAAAACATTATAACAAACAACATACTTAACTGTTCTTGAAACTTTGTAAATATTTTAATGGCAGCAAAAATATCCATCATAGGGATACCATATCACCTATCCAACTATTCCTATACAGGTAGAAATGAGGAGGAGGGAGATTTCACTATTATAAGTGATGCCACAGTGCACATATTAATATGAACTTAGGCTCTGTCAATGGTTCTTATGATCAATACCAAGAAAGAAATTAGTGCATCAGGCAGCATGAAAGTTTTAGATTCTTAGTTTTCTACTGTTTTACATTGTCAATGTGAAAGTAAGCCCATTACATCTCTTCTCTAGCACTTGGTGTTATGTTGGGTGCCACTGAGGACTTTTGGTGTGGGGAATGACATGACCAGATTTGTGTTTACGAAATTGCATGCTGGAGGCTAAACCAAATGGGCCAGCTTGGGATGCTACTTTCACCCTTGGTATTCCTCCTTTGCTTCCACATTCTCCTTTTTCATTTTTCCATTCTTTATCTTCTTTCTTTCCTGGAGAGTGTATATTATGTGTTCACTGCACATAAAGTACTGCACAAGGCTTTGTTACCAAGGAATAAGTAAGAGCAATACCGAAAGGCCCAGCTCTGTGGCTGCAGCAAGCTTGTACTAGCCCAGAGACCCTCTTCCTTTAGCTATGGCAAAAAGAAAGAGTCTCTGGACAGTAATTCTCTTTTGGGAAAAATATTTTTTATATTTTCCATTGAATTTGCCAAGTGGGTTTATGAGTTAAATTAATTTCTTTTCCTCCATCCTATGATTCTCCAACCCCACACATGATCATCCCTATGCCTAGAATGTCCTCCCTCTTTCCTCTTTTCAACCCAGCAAATTACTTTCATTCATCCTCCAAGACCTTCCCTAAGGAACTGTGACACCTTCATTCTGTAATTTGCCCAGTCATAATCATTCACTTGAGCTTCCTTGATCCTATAGGTGAATTACAGCATTTTCTGCACCCAACTCTGTTTCTTCCTGTTATGGAAGAGGAAGAGTCCTTCAAGAATAGAACATTTTGTATCCCCAGTTCTTAGTTGTTACTCAGTAACTGTCAAATGAATGAGTGAGTGAATGTCTGTCTTACTCAGGTGCATAGACATCCCATCTTAAACATTAATGAGTTGAAGAGTATGAAGATAATATAGAGATGACATGGCTTGCCAAAATCACACTCTGAATCATTGGTGCCTAAGGTAACAGACACCTCATTTACCAGGTGTCCTGAGCCTGGATCTGTGTTCTAAACATTGATCATTCTGTGTGCCTAGATACTTACCTGCATTCTGTTCTCTTTCATTTTAGCTCCAAATTTAATTTGTACCTAATTACCTCTGTGATAGAGGAAGTAAAGAGGATTGAGTGACGCCAGAATTTCCCAAAGTGTGTTTCAGTAAACAGCTGACACCATGGGCTGTTTAAGGTATCACGCACAAAAAAAGGGTCTTGTGGTCCGATAAATTTGGGAAACAGAGCTAAACAGATTTCTATACCTCAGGGCTTCTTGGCAGGCGTTCTAGGAAGCTGAAAGAAAGATCAGTTAGGCAATGGTAGGAAAGTAGAAGAGCAGTCCAGTCTTGTCTCAGTAGTAGTCATCCTAGCCTCTTTATGCCAGGGAAAATTCGGAGTACGAAATCAAAGGCAGAATGGCACAAAGCATGCCACAGTCCTAGCCCCTTCCCCTCCACTCGGCTCCCCAGGCCTGCATCTGTGTGAGCCCCTGCCCCCACACTCCCACCCATGCTGATGAGATCAGCCTTCATTACTTCTCTTCTAGAGCCAGGAAGCAAGGTAATGTGTGGGAAGTGATAGCTGCAAGGTAATGTGTGGGAAGTGATAACAACTTCAGAGTTAAAGCCATTCAACAGGAAAATTTGTTAAAAGACCAAGACATTGTAAAGCTGAAACACTTGAGTCTATTAAGTCCCCTGCTTCTTAGAACATTTTGTTACCAGGGAATGTTTCGAGGAGGGAAAACAGTGAACTATTACAGCACTGTGAGATACCGAATCCTGGTACAAGAGCAACATTTTGCAAGACATCTGTCTCTGCCACTAGAGAATCTTCTAAAAAGTTCTGCTTCTCTTTTCTCCTCCTCTTTCCTACCCTAACATTACTCCTCCACCCTCCTCACCCCTAGAGACACTCTGTACATTTCTCTCCTCCCCTCCCCTCCTCCTTTTCTTCTCTCTCTCGTATTCATAGCTCATGTTGTTTTCACAGACACTATTAGAGTGACATGGTAAGCTAAGACATCCAATGGTCATCAACCCTCTTTGGTAAGAAGGGGACTAATTACATGACTAGAGGTTTAGACATTTGTTGTTTATTAGGTCCAAACTCCTTCAGAGAGCCTGGAGCATTCTCCTAAACTAACATTCCTCCTCCATGGCTTCTCGTTCCAAGTCCAAATGAGGTGGAGAGCCTAAAGGAGACAATATTTTTTCTCAAACGTGAAGAAAGGAGTACTAGAGAAGAATGGGAGTGTTGACAGATGTGGAGGGGAAAAGCCATGTGCCTGTCACAGAAAGACGAGTGAGATTTGTGTATCTGTTGGCAGCTGATGACCCTCAGTGATCATCGGTAGTTTAGACTGTGGCAATGTTGACACATTTGTGGTCATCCCAATGGCTTGTTTAACTGTCTTCATTAGAAATACATCTGTCAAGAGAGTGTTTTTTAAACAATACCCTTCTAAACCAAAGAGTAAAGACTAGCCTAAATATCTCCTTGCCAATCTTAACAAACAAACTTAACAAATAAACTTCTAAAGTGCTATACCAGGAAGCACTTTAGAAGACAGAAGCCATCTGTTAAATAAACAAAAGCGTTAAGGTAGACACGACTACTCGGGGAGGCTTGCGTCTCCTTTTCGAGTTTGTGGATATTAATGGTATGTTGGTGATTAGCCACAACTTAGGAGAAAGGTACTTTTGCCTTGGTTAGAAAAAGGAATGGAAGCTTTTTTAAAATCTGCCTTTTAATTTTGCTTCTGTTTTAAATAAATAAAAATTGCATTGTAACAGCGAGTCTTAGGCCCAATAACAAACATTAATCCTGCCATTGCCTTCACAGGAAACTGGGGAGGGATAATCTAAGCCTTAGGAACTCTGAAAAAAACTTCTAGGTTCTGAATCAGATGCAACTGCCACCGTGGCAGGCCATCGATCCTGAGTGACTCTGAACCTGAGCCTCATATTTTCTGCCCCTCCTTTTCTCCTGGGGGCCCACAATAATCTGCTGTAGGTAAAATCGTCTTTTCCTTGGCTTTCGTTAGGCGCCTGGTGTCCTGAAAGAGGTCACCGACTTTCCCGGGGATATCCAAGGAGGCTGGCTCACCAGTGGCTTACCACGGGCCAAATTTGAGGTTCATTAACCATCCATCATCGCCAGTGGGGCCAAGATGTTATTCAGACCTTCAGAGAAGTGAGGCTTGATCCAGCTATAGATAATGGCCTTTGTGAACATTTCTTCCTGTCCTAGTCCCAAACTGATGTGTTTTAGCTACACTAAGGGGGTTAAAAATTATTTCAGAAATAGCTGGTTCATCACTGATGTTATTCTACACTTAAAGAGGTTTCTTGGTATGGCATCTTATTTACTGCATGCATAGTAATGTTCTCAATCAAAACCTTTTTTCCCTAGAACAGGGTTTCTGTTCATGAAAAGGTACAGTTTTTGACCTTTGGGGAAATGCCCTATTCAGAGTGAGTATGAAATAGCTGTTTGGTGGGAGACGAAAGGATGCTGACGGACCTGGGCTGGCCATCTGGGGACCAGACTTTCTGGCCAGAACCTGCCCGCGGAACGGAGAGAAACGTATGCACTGCTTTTGCTGTCTCGCTCTGCAGACCTCAGTGACCAGCTCCTTGAAGTGGTGGGGCTGGAGGGAGCCATGGAGATGGGGCAGATCTACACCGGCCTGAAGAGTGCGGGCAGGAGGCTGGCCCAGTGCTCCTCAGTCACCATCAGGTATGCCTCCTCTTTCCCTGGCAGTCTCCAGCTTCCCACCACCCCAGGCCTTCTTGCAGACAACAACCAAAAGCCATCTTTGGATTTCCGAGCGGGGAGAGTGGGGCACAGAAGCCTGATGACATTAGTAAAGAACACCTTTGTAGACCGTTTTCCAAGTGTGATATTAAATAATGCAACCATTCAGGACATCAGCTGGAGGATGCACCACAATCAATTTGCTGTTCTCTTAAAATGACCTGGTGAAATTCTCCAAACAGGACTGTGAGATTGAGAGGTCCAGAGAACCAAAGGTCCAACTCCTTGACTCTTTTATCTTTACAAGTTAAAATGTTAGATGTATGCCAGAGGGCACACTCATAAAAAACAGGTGTGCCAGGGTGCGGGAGTTCAAGACTACAGTGAAATATGATCAGGGCTACTACACTCTGGGTGACAGAGGGAAGCCTATCTCTAAAAAACAAACAAACAAAAAACCCCACCAATTTAAATTAAAAACAAAACAGGTGCTCTGTTCTGCTCTTTCTTGGATAGTGGCCTTAGAAATGCTATTTACTGCATGCCTTTGTATGCTAAACCATCAACATCAGCAAAGCTGTCTTAATTGACTAAGAAGTTGACAAATTTTCAGGGGTAGATCACACAGGTTAGCCACTGCAGGCTCTAGGAAGAGATGGGGTCTAACAAGGTGATCCTCAGATTTCAGTCTCTGTTTAATCAAGACAACTGGTCACATTTTGTCTCAGATTCTTTCCTCACTTGATTATTTCAGAAAGTCTTTATTCCTTTTCTTTTTCCCTTTGATTACTATGTGTCAAATCTATTAATATGCCTTGGAGATCTCCCAGAGGGGACCACAGCTGGCAGAGTTTCCTGAAGGTATTGGACCTCCGATCCCTTTTCTCCCAGAACCTCTTGGGCAGGTGTCATCAGAGCAGGTTCAAGAAACTCTGCTCTGCTCTTGGCACTACCTTGCATCCCTCAGAGAGGTTCCACAGCCTGCTCCCTGATGGCGCTTAGCTTAAGGTCTATTCTACTAACCCCCTTTCTTGGTTCCCTCTCTTTGTCTTCTCTGTCTTTCCTACTCCCCAAAGCTTTGCTCCACTTTATTTCTGAGCTGTTGTGATGGGGCCCCTGTTTTCCAGATTAATCTCACCAGCTCCGTCCTTTCTCTAGGACTCTCATACTGAGTAGGTCCAGTTTGGGAGCATATCCAAGCCATAACTTACGCAGACTGCAGAGAACATAATATCCTCATCCCTGAGGAATCAAAAACGCCTCGGATAAGAGGCAGGAACTTTCCCTTATATTCAGGAGGTCTGTTTCCAGACAGAAACAGAGGGGCTGAGCCAGGAGCCCCATCCTCCTGGGCATTTCCCAAATACTCTCCTCAGCTCAAAGAACCAAAATGCCACTCTTTCCTCTTATTATTTGTTTTTATTATTAGATTTATTGTTTTTATTATTAAATATCCTCAGGGTCAGTCATAGAAGCATCACATCAAAACACAGCTTTCTCCTCTCATTTTATAATTTCAAAAACAGGACAGATGCCAAAGCCAGGTGAGGGCTTCTTGGTCAGTGGATACTAACTGTTCCCCACTCACCCAGACCAGAGACCTCCAAAAGGGCCTGTCTTTTCTTCCAAAGGCAATGTGGTATGAGTTCATGACTCTTCTGCAGAAGAAAGTCAGAAGACCTCATCTCTCTCCTTTTAAGAATCCACATGCTAAAGAAGCCTTGTCCCAAGCAAGAAAGCCCCACTTTCTCCTCTCCTCCTCTCCTAGCCATGGAGGCAGCATTCCTGGATAACCCTCTTTCCCGGCTAAGCCAGGGCCAAGTTCACGCAACCCTAGAGTACACTGTTGTTCAGGAGACGAAAAAAAAAGGATATCGGTTCGGACCAAGTGCAAGGCGAGACACACTCAGACCTGAGCTGTACCTTGCATGGGTTGGAGACGTTACCTCATTGACATGATGCAACCTCTCACTCAACATAGAGCCTAGGCCCTTTCCCATTGCAGAGTGGGGTTTTGGCACCAACTGCAGGCCCTCTGGCTGATTGTTTGACTGAGGAGGGTCCGCTCAGCAGTGCTGCCATGCCTGCTGGCCACTGTTCTCCAGAACTCTGCAGATTTCACTGCTTACCCGCAGCAGTGTTTCTCAAAGTGGGGTCGGAGGACCAAGGCAATAGAATCACCCAAACTGCTTATTAAAGTGCAGATCCTTGGGCCTGGTCCCAGACCTGCCAAGTCGGAATCCCTGCACTGGGCCCAGAAATCTATTTTTAACAAGCTCCCCAGGAAAGTCTTAGAGAAACTCTGCTAGATAGGCAGATAAGGTCTTCCCACTTCTGTTTTCCTGCTGGGAACAATCTTGATTCTACAACTCCAAGCAGCTTACTGTGTTCTTTTGGTTTTCTGGGTTCCAGGACTAACAAGCTGCTGCCAATGCAAGTGGATGGAGAGCCCTGGATGCAGCCACGTTGCACGGTAAGTTTTGCCAGTCTTTGCAATAAGGATGAGAAGCTTTATTTATTTTTCATATTAAGTCAGACCCTGTTGGGCACTGACTCAATATGAAATCGCTGAATCTCAGAGTTGCAGGGACCTTGGAAGATTATCTAATGCAACCCCTCTTCCACTCTATTCATCCATTCACTCGGTTACCTGCCAAGCTTTTATTGAATGCCTGCTGTGTGCCAGGCACCGTGAGGTGCCAGTTACAAAACTGAAGGAGACACAGACCCGTCCGCAAGGAGTTCATAATTCTAGCTGGTGAATTCTGAGTCTTCATCCACAGTGTCCTTGACAGCCTCAGCTTGACTCATTCCAGTGGCTGGGAATTTACCACCTCAACAAGAAGACTGTTCTACTGATGAACAGTCTAATTGTTAGAAAATGCTTCCCTATGTGGAAGCCAAATCTGCACACTTACCCTACAACTTCCAGCCCATGGCTCTAACCACCAGAGCTTTCAGGAGCGAATTCCCCACGTACACAGACACACCTTATTTATCACAGATGCACCCACAGCCCTGAGGAACTACCTGAAAACTCCACTGAAAGAGTTACCACATAGGTTATCTATTTTGTTTATGGCATTATCATCCACAACCTAGCACTCTGCCTGGTTTGTAACAGTTGCACAATAATATGTGTTGATAACGAATAAAGGACTTAACAAATGAACAAACAAAAAAATGGAACATCCCCATTCCCTGACTTACTGTGTCTATTAATATGTTAGCTCTCCTTTTAGCACCACTACAAGAGCCATGCATCCTTCCCTCAGTTTGTTCTCAGTTAGAAACCCAGCTTGAAACTCTGTGGTGAAAACAAACCATTGTCCTGGTTTTCAGGGACTCTACTGGGACATTATATGAGTAATATCCTCAATGCTGTCACAAATGTGCAAATTTCAAAAGGGAAAAATTGTGCTTCTAAGGCTGGGCGCAGTGGCTCATACCTGTAATCCTAGCACTCTGGGAGGCCAAGGCAGGTGGATCGTTTGAGCTCAAGAGTTCAAGACCAGCCTGAGCAAGAGTGAGACCCTGTCTCTACTAAAAATAGAAAGAAATTAACTGGATAATTAAAATATAGAGAGAAAAAATTAGCAGGGCATAGTTGCACATGCCTGTAGTTCCAGCTACTCAGGGGGAGGCTGAGGCAGGAGAATCGCCCAGGAGTTGGAGGTTGCTGTGAGCTAGGCTAACACCACGGCACTCTAGCCCAGGCAACAGAGCCAGACTCTGTCTCAAAAAGAAATATTGTGCTTCTAGGCTTCTTCCCTCTAGTGGAGTATCCAGATAGCTCAATAGCCTGCTAGTCTGAGCCCCTCAAAACATCAAGTTGTCTTTTACTAGAGAGGGGGTTTTGATGAGCCTGCTGAGAAGATGTGACATCTTCTATAAAAGTTTTCAAAAGTAGAACTTTCTTCACAAAATTCTTGCCTCAATCTTATGAAAACCAAGAAAAGGATGAAAACACACTATAGCAAAAACTATACTTATAATAGCTTCCCACGTTTCTGGAATTAGGAAGGATAGAAGGAATTTCTACTACTTATCATTCATTTTATGGAGCTGAATTAAGAAAAATCTATCCAAGCTCCTTCTGCCTTTTGGGAAAAAAAAAAAAATCAAACCTTCTCCTACCTGGCTCAGTGATATCTGAGAATGGGTTGCCATTCCTCTAAATCCACGCACTGGTTTTGAAATAGCCAAATACTTTCCCCTATGCCCATCCCCACCCTCCCTCCATTCCACCCTTTGGAGTTTACAACTCACCATGAAAAAATTTGTAACCAAGTGGTTTTGGGTGTGAAGTCCAGAAATCCATGTGGAAAGATGTGTTAGTCTGCTCTTGCTGCCATAACAGGATACCACATGCCGGTGGCTTCAACAACAGAAATTTATTTTCTCACAGCTCTGGAGGCTGGAAGCATAAGACCAAGGTGCCAGCAGGGTTGGTTTCTAAGAAGGCCTCTCTTCCTGACTTCCAGCTGGCCACCTTCTCCCATGGCCTTTCCTCTGTGTGTGCTCATGTTTTCTCTTCCTCTTTTTAGAAGGCACCAGTCCTAATGGATTAGGACCCCACCCTTGTGACCTCATTTAGCCTTAATTAGCTCCTGAAAGGCCATATATACAAATACAATCGCCTTGAGATGAGGGCTTCCACATTATGAATTTGGGTGTGGGGTGGGGGGAGAAAAGCATTTAGTCCCTAACAGAATGAAACAGAAAGCCATTCTTAAACTTGCAAGGGTTAAAACAAATGTACCCCTTGTTGAAATATGTTCTTGAAGGTACACACCAACTAAGAAGGGATTCCAAATTAAAGGCTTAAGAATGGGATAAAACACAGCACAAAACAACTTTTGGTAAAAATTGAAACGAGTTAAATTGGAATAAAGTTTTAAAAACCTGTTAAATATGGTCATACAACTGAATGTAAATAGCAAAAATCACTCTTTGAAAGGGAGATATATAATGTAAATATCAATAACCTGGATCCCAAACCTAAGGTTATATTAACAATGGCTGAAAACATGTGGCAGACATCGTTGAAGGCATAGTAAAACTTGTTAAATTTCTCATCATCTCTTTTCACTTTGATAATTTAAAAATATAAATTGGAGCATGGCCGAGCAGTCTAAGGCACTGGATTAAAAATATAAATTGGAAGAAAAATGTATTGATAATAGCTAGATTATCACCAGTGAAATTAAAAACAGACATATGCCTTTCAAATCTGGGAGAATTTAAAATCCATAAACCCTACCAATGTAGCACAGGACAGAAAGAAACATTTAAAATTTTTTTGAAGATGAAAGAGGTTAAGACTAAATATATCAATACTGACCAAAAAAAATAGATGAGTTCATGTTCCCTATTAAAAGACCAATATTCTCATATTAAGTTAAAAATTAAAACCCAAATATATGCCTCTTACAAAAGATATACCTAAAACAAAAGGATATATACATATATAACTTATATCTTTTTATTTCATCATTCATCAAGCATAGATAAATTAAAAGAAATGGTGATGCTAATTTTAAGCAAATTAACCTTCCCACATCGCAAAAGCATAATGCAGAATAAGAAAAGTCTATTTTTATTCGATAAAAAGTACTCTCACTTATGAGATGTAGTAGTCATAAAATTTTAGATATTTAATAATAAAATAAAAATACATACCATGAAAAAACAATATCAATATATATCTGGAAAAAATAAATATATAAGAAGTGGACAGAAAGTTATTGAGAGGCTTAAAAATGTTTGTTTCTACTTTTGAGGTTAAGTAGCAAAAAATATAAATGACATAATTCTTTAATGAAATAACTCTATAACTTATAAACAAACTAAGCATCATATTTGTTCAAGGAATTATAAAATATTTACTAAAATAGATCATAAACTAGTTTACAAAGAACAAAAACTTCTATAAATCCAAAAGCAGAAATTTATTTTCTTTGACCACAAAGCAATAAAACCAGAAATTACTAATAGAAGAGTAAATGAATAAACAAGCAAAATTCAGTCACTTGGAGACTTAAAAATTCTTCTAAAGAACAATAGATTCAAAAGGAGAGCAAAACCACCATTATTAACTACTAAAAAAGTTATAGAAATAAAAAGGCTCCAGTTCAAAACATAATGTATATAATACAGCCTAAACTATATTTGGAAGTAAATTCAAAGCCTTATAAACTTCCATTATACAAAAAAGAAAAAATGTAATGCATAATCCCCAAATTAGAAGAGCAGTAATAAAACAAACTTAGGAGAACCAGAAGAAAGAAAATAGTAATAAAGATAAAAGTAGAAATTAAATAATTAAAAAATAGAAAAATCTATGACTAGTTTTTTAAACATGTCAAATGTTTGAAAACCTAATTTTTAAAACATAAAAACAGAGATCAGAGATATTGAAATAGAAAAAGATATAATATAAAATATAAATATAAATGTGTCAATTACTTTAATTATAAGACTATATATATAATTATCTTGATTCTGATAAAATTGAACATCTTAAGAAAATGAATGAAAATCCTGGTAACCATTAATAAAATAGGAATGGTTTCAAATAATTACATACAAAATGATCTTGAAACAGATGGTCTTACTGGTAAGATTTTCCATACTATTAGGAAATAAATATTTAGGTAAACTGCTCTATAGTATAGACAAAGATAGAAAGATATCCCATTCATTTTATAAAATGAAGACAGATACAACAATGTAACAAAAATTACACTTAAAAATAAAAAGATACAGACCAATCTCAAATATAAATATAATATAAGAATTCTAGTTAAAGTATTGGTAGATAGAATTGAACAGTATGTTAAAAAAATCATTCACCCCTCAGAGCATATCAAAGGAATGGAAAGTCTTCTAATATTAATTTAAATTTAAAAATTACATGATAATATAAGTAGATGACCCCAAAGTATTCAGTTACATTCAATATTTCTGATTTTTAAAGATAAAAACTCCTAGAAAACTAAAATCAGAAAGATACTCCCTATGTTAGACCAATAACTAATATTTTACTTAATAGTAAAACACTAGAGGAATTCTCATTGAAATCATGGACATATATGCTAACATTATTTGCAAGTTCTAGCCAATGCAATATGCATGAAGCAGAAAAGAAATATAACTATTTGGAAAAGAGTCAAAACTGTCATTATTTGTAGATGACATGATCATGTACATAGAAAGCTAACAGAAGCAACCGAAAACCTCATAGGATAAATTTTTTCAATTAAGCCCTGTAGAAAAGTAGACAAAAACTAATAGCTTTTCCATATACTAGCAATAACCAATCCAAAGAATATAATAGAGAAAACTTAAAATATCATAATAACAGCAAAAAGATATAAAATACTAAACTGAATTGTGGAAAATAACTGTAAGACTTAACCAATTAAAAAAAAAAGATGTGAATTAGAAGAAAATAGATGGTTTAACATATGACATCCAGGAAATTGTCTGTTTGAAAAAATGTCATTATATACCAACCACTCACCTTAAACTATATTCCAAAAACAAAACAAAACAAAACAACCCTCCAATTCTGTTACTAGCTCTCGGAAAAAAAAAAAAAAAAAATAGATGATTCCAATTACACTGTGGGCAGGGACTTTCTAAGGAAAAAAATGACATATTTGACTCTTAACAATTTTTAATTTCTACAAGTCAAGAGTCAGTATAGATATTTAAAAGGCTAAGGACAAGACGTGTGTAATACCTATCTCAAAGAGCAGGCTAATTCTTATAAGAAATCAGCTCTTAGAATCCAGCAGAAAAAAATACTAACAATTCAATAGTGAACAGACATATTACCAAAGAAATGCCATGGGCTAATACACCTGTGAAATAATATTTAATATCACAAGTTTTTTAAGAAAGGAAAGATTTTGAAATTAAAACAGTGAGAAAGCCATGCCATATTTCATTTATCAATTAGCACAACATTTTTGTTTGTTTGTCTTAAGATAATATTCATTGCTGCCAAGTTGTGGTGAGACCAGCACGCTCATGCAGTGAGGCAAGAGTGTAGACAGGTACAGCCATTCTGCAAAGCACTGGGAGCCATGTATCAAGAACCCCTACAAATATTAATATACATTGATCCAGTTCCCATTTACTTTCCCCCTTAAAAATTATTCATATATTTCTAAGAATTTATTCTAAGTAAAATACAGATTATCAAAAACATAGGCAGAGATTGATATATAAGAATGCCAATTTCTATATTATTCATCATAGCAAAAAACTGGAAATTACTGAAAAAAGCTCAACAGTTAGGGAAAGGGCTCAATAAGCGAGAGTCATCATATGGGATCATTTTCAGCCAATGAGTAAGATGTACAACGTTTAGGGGATGGTCACGCTTGAGGCTCTGACTCGATGGGGTAGGGGGCATGGGCAATATACGTAACCTTAACACTTGTACCCCCATAATACACTAAAATAAAAAATAATAATAATAAATAAAATAAAGTCTCAGTTAATAGTTAATGACATCAAAAATGCTTGTGAACTGTTAAATGAAAACAGCTGACTAAGGTGCTGATTTCAATTTTATTAAAAAGATATAAGCATGGAAAAAAACTGAAAACAGCATATCAAAAAGTTTAACAGTTATTACCTCTATGTGATTTTTAAATTTTTTCTGTATTTTCAAAATTCTTATAAATGAGCATATATTTGTTTATGCACAGCAATATATGCATATAAAATATATGTTTATTAAGAAAACTTATCTCCTGCTTGCAGCACTCTCATGCTTCACCATCAGTTAGCAGCATAATTCCAGCCTCAACATTCAGAATCTTCTTCTCCCAGAGTCAGATGATAGTAGAATCTCAAAGTTGAAAATGGTCCTAGTTATCTAGTCCAGTAATTCTCAAGCTTAGGTATACATCTAAATAACCTGGAGGAGTTTTAAAATCCAGATTTCTGGGCCACATCCCAGATTTTCTGATTCTGTAGGTCTGGATGCCTGAGAATTTGCATTTTCTAACAAATTCCAAGGTGCTGCTGATGCTATGGTCTAGGGACCACACTTTGAGAACCAATAACCTAGTCAAACTTCCCGACTCATCAGTAAGTCACACACTTCTCCGTCCCTTGTGGGACCTGATTGTCCAGGTACAGCTGAAGGTCTGTGATGTCAGGGAACACTCATGAAGCAGGGCATGCTAACACCTCAGATAACCCAGAAAGGGCTAAGACCCGAAAGACTACGCAAACTGTCCCTCTTTCCTTGGGCTCACGTTAAAACAGACTATTTCCTTAACTTTTTAAAATATTACAGAAAGGATTTGAGGCCTTGCAGGTTTGTGCCTTTGTATTTCCTGTTAAAATTAGGGCAGACCTTAGACACTTCCCAAATGGTGCGAGAAGCGTCCGCACTTGCAGTTATCAGAATCCTTCGCCCTGAGCGGGCAGCGTTTAGGAAGTCCCTCAGTTTATTGCTTCTCTTGAAGTAGTAAAAATGTGTTGATTGCAGGACATGCCCTCTCTCAAAACACAGTACACCCCCTGCACTAGTGAAGTTTAAAATTTTATTCTATTTTAAAGGGGAAATTATATGTTGCAGTAGTTTTGTGGATTTTGAACTACCATGCAAGAGTCTACTGTATCAGTTCTCTCTGTAATAGAGAGAGAACTAACAGCATGGGCTGTTGTCCTTCGTGCTTGCCAGGTGTTGGGAGTGTTACGGTTTCTAAGAAAATCTGCTGTAGTGAACCGTCTGACTTGCCCAATTATCAAAAATGTTTGGGTTTTAACTACAGAAATGCGGGGTACTCTCTATCAGGGGTGGAAAAGGTGGGCTTAGCCATATCCAGCTACCTCCTAAAATAGGCTCTTAACTATTTCACCCACTGCCCCCTAATTTGGAGGTAAGAGACTGACATCTCTTTGACTGGAAATGAGGATGTGATCTCATGCTTCTGCCCGTTATCTGGAGTAATAGAATCCACAAAGCTGACCAAAATATCATGTTACCCAGGAGCCCCAGACTCCTACCCTATCAAGACCTTTGTCAGAAACGCTGAAAAAACAAAAACAAATGAAAGGGGTTTGAGTTTCACTTCCTCCTCTTTGCCCTGGAGGTGCTAACAAGCAAATAAATAGCTCAGCTGGAGGGACAAAAAGGAGAAGCAAAGGTCTTCTATCTTCTAAAAGAAATGGGCTCTTCCAGTGGGAAATGTAGGCGCTGCGCCAGCTGCCACCCTCTGCCCCAAACGCAGCCATCCCCAGGGCCAGGACGCGCTCTCCCTGGGTGTCGCCTCAGTCAGCACTTCCACGCAGGCTCTGCGCGGCTCCGGGAATACCGCGTGAATAAGCCGAAGTCCTGTCCCTCGATGGGCACGTGAGCTCAGGAGTGAGAGGAGGCTCACCACAAGGGAATGTGCCACAAATCACTATCCTCAGAGTGCCAAACTGCATGCCACAGATAAGTGCTGTCAGAGACGCCCGTCTATGCCTCACTTCCATGAATTCTGGAGTAAACACAACACCCACCATAAGACACACAACACAAGATGGTGTTGATGTAGCCTCGGTTTGCTCCTCTGGTGACTACCACAAAACAGAAAGACTCACCTCCCTTCGAGATCTCCAGGCTGGCGGAATCCAACGTGAGGGTCCCTTTCAGCTTTCGTCACCAGGTCATGCTAATGGTCCACAGTGATGAATAATATACAAATTGGCATTCTCATATATCAATCTCTGCCTATGTTTTTGATCATCTGTGTTTTACTTAGAATAAATTCTTACAATTATATGAACAATTTTTAAGGGGAAAAGGACAATGTTCTGTCCTTTCCTTTCCATTTCCTGGAGGCTTATAAATGTAAACTTGGCTCACAGGAGAGCCCTTGTAGCCAGCCACTCCCCACTCAAGCTCACCCTGACACCAGCTGTTGAATAACTTCCCTCAAACTCTTTTTCTCGTCCTGTTATTCTCCAGTGTGAAAGGCCACCTCTCGTGGTTCCTCATGACTTCACGTGAACCCTGTCTTGCCACCTCCCTTGACAGCCCCACCAGCTGTCCCACCCAGACCACATTCCTCATCCCTCCTCACCTGTCCATCCACGCTCCTCTACCCAGCGCCTTCTCCTTCTCTTTCCACCAGCACATGTCCTTCCCTTCCTTCAAATCTTAAAATTCTTCCATTTCTCCCACCAGACCCTTCTCATTCCTTACCCACCTTCTTTTTGATACCACTTGGTTTATCCTACCTTCATTTAAACTTGTCGGCGGGTCTCTCTCTTCCAGGGTTCTTCTGTTGTTCTCTGGGGTCACGCTGTCATTTCCACTAATGTAAAAACCATGAAAATGGGCTCACAGTTTCTGTTTCTTTTCACATCCATCTTTCTCTTTCTCCTCCAATGTAAGACAACAGGTATTTAACCAACTGTTACTTTCCATTTATAGTGACAGTGGGCTTTCATTGACAGTCTATCACTTGATCTTTGCAAGAAAAATATGACAAATGTTATCATCCTTATTTTACAGTTCAGCAAGCACTGGCTCCAAAGGTTAAATGATTTGTCCAAAGTTTCACAGCAAAGAAGTGGAGGTGTCAGGACTCAAACCCAGGTCTTTGAATTCTAAGTGTTTCCTGTTGCCATGTCATCTTCCTACTCTGAACATGTGCCATACTTGATGAGTATTGTGGACGCACTAATAATGCAGATTATTAAGGTGGCAGTGTCATCGGGCCACATTCAGATAGACATTAAGCACGTTGAAGCTGTGGCCTGAGGATAAGATTGAAAAGAAAGGCAAAAATGAGACTTCATCAGTGTCTTTCATTTCTAATTAAAGTTTACAGGAGAAAACACTTTTAAACCTTAAAATTCCTTAAAAAATGATTTTAAAAGAAATTAGAGTGTTCCCTGAGAGGTGAAGAAAAGAGGAAACACCTGAGGGACTCCCTTGGGAACTCTCCACATGGTGGTACTTGGTCAGAGTCAGACTAAAGCCTCCCGGTCACTTGGCTGACATCTCTGCACCGCCTGGAAAGAAACGGCCAGGAGCAATGGTGGCTGGGAATCTGAAGGTCTGGGCTCCGGCTGTCCTGCCCTCTGTGTGAACGCGGGCCAGGTTAAGGCCCACTAAGCCTTGGGCTCCAATTCCTTTATCCATCCTGCAGAGGGGCTGAATGAGAAGGTCCCTGAGGCCTCCTCTGGCTGTGACATTCTGAGAGTCTATGAATAGCAAGGACACAAGACAGGTGTGAGTTGATCACCATGTGGGAAGCTCACACCTGTCTCTCCCCAGTGTGTTTCTGCCCCTCACTTCCAGCAGTGCCAAGCTCTGGGACCAGTCAGGGTCAAGTTGCCAATTTTGAAGCCATTCAAGGACGGTTGTCCTTCTGTATGGTGCTCCTTCCAGCCCGAGGCTGGCCTTCTTTCCTTTCTCTGAGACTCACTGTTCCTTAGGCTACTGAGATTTGCATGCCACTAATTCATTTCTTCCTCTTTGCCTTTAGATTAAAATCACTCACAAGAACCAAGCGCCCATGATGATGGGGCCTCCCCAGAAGAGCAGCTTCTTTTCATTGAGGAGAAAGAGCCGCTCAAAAGACTAAACAGTGTGCCAAATGCCAGCCAAGCCAAGAGCGAAAGCAAGAAACTGTACCTACACACCCACACACACACATTTATGTGCACACACACACACACAGACACACACACTCTTCTCTAACCAGTGGAAGCAAAGCCACCCTTCGGGAAGAAAACTTCACCTTGCCATACGTCCTACCCATTTCAGTAATGGATGCACCCTAACAGAGCCAGTGCCAACTCAACATTTGGGGTGGGCTTTGGGCCCACAAGGGTATGGTTAGCTCGTGCAGCAACTCCCACATTCCCACCGGCCTTGAGCAGGACTTTCTGAGACTGAAGGAGAAATCCCCCTTCCTTTCCATCAGCACTGCAAGTTTCCTCACGAACACTCGCGAGGAGCAGGCTGCAGGTTTCCTGCCTGTGGTGAGGTCGGATGTGGCCGAGGGAAAGGGCTCCGGTTCCAGAGAACTTGCACAAAGGTCCCTCTGTACAGAGACAAAACGGCCCCCGGCTCTCAGAGCACACTCCCTGGCAGGGCTCAGCAAGCGCACGTTGGTTTCTTGGTTGTCCCTGAGCGACAACTTCTCCCTGAACTTGCTGAGGAGGCAGAAAGGCTGTGGAAAGCTGTGTTTCCTTTCCTGGTTCTCTGCACTGTCAGTGGACACTTATTTTCCCAAAGCCTTCTCCTAGTGACTGTATGTTTGTTTAGAGGTGGCTCCAAGAGTCCCCAGAGCTGCCTGTGCAGCACACCTTAGATGTGGTATTTATTTTCTTAGTTCTCTGAACACCTGGGAGGAAAAGCAGAGAAACTGGGATTTATTTTTCAAATTTGTGTCATAATATTGTGTAAAAAGGGAAGAAAAAAAAAAAAAAAACCACCCCCAGCTTCTTTCTTTTTCAAGCCAAAGCGTGTTTCCTGTTTGAGTTCCAAGCCCTGGTGGCAGACTATTCCTGAAGGCAGGGAAGATGGGAGGGAAACCGGGAGACAAACCATAGGGTGGTTCCCTCCTGCTTCTTTGCACTCACCACTCCCAGAGTGTGACCTGAAGAACCTTCTGGTGGTCTTACATGTGTGTATATATGTAGCATATATATTTATATATATATATAAATATTTATTTACTGATGGACTTTTCCTGATTGAAAAAAAGCATAGGCAGTATGGGAACAGAAAGTGGGAAAGAAAAAGCAGCTCCTTGTTCCTCCAAGCCCCCATTTCATCATTAGCACACATTTCCCTGTAGTGATCATAAGGGAAACAAAAGTAGCTCCTTATCATGAAGAGGCTGAGAACTCCAATTCTGGATCCTCCAAACAACCATGACAGATATGCTGGGTAGGATTTGCTCTTCCATTTGTCAGATAAGGAAACTGAGTCTCAAAAACTGAGTCTCAGTACCATTGACAGACTTGTCTATGGTACTGTGGTTTGAGAGTAGGTGCCACTAAGAAGATATCTAATAGAGAAAAGAGCCCACACGTCTCAGAATAGGGTCATGATTGCACTTGGATCTAGCTTGCCAGGGAAAGACTAATGAGCAGCATGTGTGTGGTTGGGACAAGCCCACACGAGAAAGTGATGCTGGCCTGCACTGGAGAGAAGTTGGTCTGAGTTGGAAGGCACTAGACAGATCATCAGATGGAACTCTCCACATGTCACCTCATCATGGTCATCATAGTCTCTTTGATGTTTGGAAACACCCCTAGCTGCAGGGGTGACCTCAGTGGAGAGTCACAGGGAAGATTGAGTCACCTTCTGCAAGGAACTGCCAGCCATGACAGAGGGGTCTCAGCGGAGCTCAGTGGGCTTCATTCAGTTGGTGCCAGCATTACCCTCCTTTCCCAAGGGCAAGTCTGTACACAGCCTCACTGGGCTTCCATCCTTCTCTGAGATTGCTCAAGAGGACACTTAGGCCCACTTGACATCACCCTACTGAGCTGCCTCTAATCTCCTTTGGACAAGAAAGGAAATGTCAAGATTATGTGTACAAATTGAGCCTAACTCTGAAGGAAGCAATCATCTTGGATCCAGGACCAAGATCTAGCACCATCCCACTTGACCTAACAGTGCAGGACCCTGGGAAAGGAGAAAACCAGGCCATCTAAAGAATATCCTTAATAATTGGATCCTTGGTGATGGGACCAAGCGGCTCCAGAATGACTACAGGTACTCTCTTGGAAACCACTTGATTCTGAAATGGAGGCAGGTTCAGGTTTGGGGTCACTGATTCTAAGACATTTACAGAAGTTTGTGCATGTGTTTCAGCCCTGATCCCCCAGGATGGAGGCTGTTGAGACATGGCACTCTCAACAGGTGGAATTCTCAGAGACTCACAAGTCTCATGAAGGGGCCTGCAGAGATTGGCCTTACTGCTCCTCCATCCTAGTGCACAAGACTTGCAGTGTTGCTTGACAGACAAATCCCAAGTCCTCCTTAGAGGCACAGAGTGTAACAGACTTCACTGGAAATGCACTTCCGATTTGGTAACCTTAGTAAGTCTTGTGTTTTTTAATCTTACCTTACAAATCATCCTTGAAACACTGACTGTGGTTTCTTATTGTAGAGTACCCTATCATGGTGACCCTCATAGCAACCTCTGAGGTTAGCAGAGGAGGTATTGTTACCTCGATATCTCAATCTTTATGAGAGCCAAGTTTAATGAGGTTTAGTGACTCCTCAAAGCTACACAGTTAGCCAGGGAAAGAACCCGGTCCCTTATTTCTTGTCTTATTCTGATTCTTGCCATGCTACAGACATGTTCTCGCCTGCCCCCACACTCCTATCCCACCAGCAATAAAAACATTAAAACAGGAAATCTTCAGTACTTTGTGTTGTCCCTGAACGATGGGCTAGGAGTCGCATCTCATTATGGCTTGGTCTTTGTGGGGTTTCCCCAGCGAGTTGAGAGTGGAGATAGACTTAGTAGGATGATTATATTCAGGTCAGGGACTAGCTCCTTTCAAGAGAGTTCTTTCCACAGATGGAAAAGATACGTTAAAATTGCCAAATAAATTAGGAAATACTTGGCAGAACCTGGAAGAGCCTCCAGACTGGCGTTACATAACATGCATATACATTATACATATGCACATTATATAAGGTGACATAGTACTTAATGTGCTGTATATATTATGTAAATTACATATTTGTGAGTAATCATGATAAATATAGAGACCCACTAATCACTTTTTTACACATACTCAGTGACAGATTAGGAAGTTACTTTGCCAGAGAGTCTTAAAACTTACTCTCTCCTGATGCTTTGGTTCCAACTCCTGCCAAAAATAATTGCATCAACTTTTCCCATCTCTAGCCCCCTCTCCTCTTGGCCAAAACCCTCAGTTACCTCCTGTCCCAGCTAGGCTGTGCCTTCCGTGCAACTGTACCACAATTGGGATCCATAAAAATAGAAGCAGGGGGATGGGAAAGATCCAGATTCCCTGAGTTACAGGGCTGTACCTCAACACTCCCGGGCAGGGGGTTTCTAATGCCAACATTAAAGGGAGGGGAGGATGGGCGAGGGGGAAGGAAGGAGGAGGAGTCTCCAACCCTCCGAGGAAGGAGACTTTGCAGTCTTCCTTAGTCACCAGCTCTGGGATCCAACAGTAATCAACCAAGATATTATTTCAGATGTCTAGTCTAAGTCCCCACAGCATATCTGAAACCATAATTTCCTAAAGTGTGTCCCACAAAACACTAGTATCCATAAAGTGTTCCATGAAAAAAGGAGTTCTGCAATCCAGTACTAGATGCCTTCTAGGGGACACATTGAGAGGCTCTGAGAACTCACAGTAAAGAACCATACTGCCCTTTGTCTGCCAACATCTATAAATTAGAAAACAGTGCCTTAAGCCCACCACTTCTTTCTTTTTAGGTCTCACTGGAGATGGGAACATACAAGTAACTGTCTTCTGCAATAGTATCCCAAAAAGTGCTTTTCTAAGACAAGTCTCCATTCTTAAGGCACTCTTTCTTGTTTCTTCTATGTGATTGTCTGTTTTTATTGTTCCTCTCTACACACTTCAAGCAAGAATCAACAATCTAGGCTCTTTGTCCCCAGAGTGGCATAGGGATTGGATAGGGGATTAAAAGGTGGGGATGGAATTAAAGGGAAGACATGATAGCTGCCAGGGGTCAGACTTATCTGTATAGCTCCAGAAAACAGAATCAGGTCTAAAGAACACAGTTGTAGAGAGGTCAATTGTTATTCAATTTAATGCCTGCTCTTAGAGCTGGCCTAATATGGAAAAGGCTGCCTTATGGAGGAATAAACATCCACCTGCTCTTATAGGAAAAGCTTTGATCTGGTTGGATGGGAAACAAATGGTAACTGATCTACCTTGCCCAAAAATCTATTGAAATTGTTTTTGTAGGCATTAGTGTTAAATCAATACATCTATTAATTCCTTTTAAGCAGCAATTTCTTGGTGTCTTTTATTTTCTGAAAGAATGAAAAATGACTCTGAGAGAGATTTCTGGATCAGTGGGTACTATCATTTAGATCAGACCTATAATGGCAGGATTGACCTGACTCACTGGCACCCTCAAGGGTAGCTGGTGGTGGTTTTGACTGCTTCCTGGTAGCTGTAAACGTTGAAGGAGTAGTTTATAGCATTAAAGCCAAAAGAGATTTTGCATTTCCACTGGGGTTCCCATTAGCAGTTTGGAACTCTTTTCCTAGTCACAAATATCAGTCCTGTATCAGAGCTGCAATAGCAAAGAAAAAGATAGTATCCCACACCTCAAATACAATTAAATTTTAAATAAAAAAGGAGGCAGAATTGTATACACTTTCTTATGGAGCCATTGCTTTTAGCTCAACTTAATGTTCTACCATATTGGAGTGCATCTTTCAACTTTCTACTACAGAGAGAAAGTAGGGAAGGGACATAAGAAAGGGAATTCCCACTCACTGCTTACTAGTTGCCAGGCACTGTGTCAAGATCTTTATATGTGCCATCCCTCTGATCCTCAGAACAGCCTATGATATAGGCATTGTAATTATTTCATAGGTAATGAAATGAGTGTATAGAAAGATGAAGTACCTTGTCCAACAGACAGGAACATCAGAACTAGGACTTCACACAGGTCTGTTTTACTCAAAATCTATGTTTTCTCCACTATATTTTAGTGCCTTTAATATTCTATTCTAATTGTTTCCAACCCTACTAGCATCCTAGGTGACATTACATGTCATTGACAATTGATACCCTATATGTTCAACCTCTGTATAGCCATCTAATCATGTTCCTGCTGAGGAACTTCCAGTGCTTGTTCATATTTAAACTCAACAGCCTCCACAGACAGCTGGATCCCAAAACCTCACCCTTGCAATCAAATTGGCAGCCATCCCTTAATCCTCAATGTCTTCAAGTTCTAGCTGAATGCAACTCATTTCCCAGGGCTAACCTAAAAGATTTTTTTGTTCAGCTCTGTGAGTGGGAGACCAGCCTTCTTAGATTTAAATGCCATGGTCAACAGTGACTGGCCAATACCAGGAAAGAGCACTAGGGTTGCTGAAGGGAGCCTCCAGCAAGGAGGCTCTGCATGTGATCCTCATTAGTGATTGGCGTGGGCTGGGCCATCTGTGTTCCACAGGAGAACAGAATGGCAGGCTGCCTTTCAGATGCCAAGAGATGCTATCTAATGGGAAGATCCAAAGAGCTCAAAAAGCAGATAAGCATCTTTCCTCATGGCATCTCAGGGACACAGAAAACCAAGGGGTTTTGGAAATTAGCAACTTAACTTGCTAGGCATTCTACCCTTGCTACCACTTCATTCTTCATGTCTGTGGTGCAGGATGACAGCAGAGTCCTGCAGCCCCATCTGCTAACTAAAATCCCTTAGAGCCATGGTGAACCTTTGTAATCCTGAAATCTGTGTATGCAATGGCAAGTACATTCTAGTACTTGCAAGTACATCAGAGTTTACGATTAAGCCTCCAAGTCTCCCAGGGGTCAGGAAATTCTGCAGAGAGAAGAGACTGTTTAATTGGATGCTCAATGCCAATTCTAGAGGAATAATCAGAAAATATGGAGGGCTATTCAAAATGGGTCAGATTAAGAAAATGCAATTTGGAGGCAAAGAAGATAACATCTAACCCAATATCAAACATGGTAATGAGTAAATATTCTTAAATGAAACAAATGAATGAATAGCTAAAGTGGGTATCTGTCCTTCTACTCTGGAATGGATGGGGGGCAGGGGGATAAAAGCTTTTTAACTATCAACTCAGGAACTTGAAACCACAGGATGTAGAGGGAGCTCATGGGGGCCTTTAACTATCCAGACATCTGTTGAGTGATGGATACAGCTAAATATGGATCATCAAAGGGTTTTCTAGGTCACATGGAGGGCAGCTTCATGATTCAGAAAATATGAACTTCAGCTTGGACAGAAAGACAGAAATATTTGCAATCCACTTCTTAGAGATAAGGTCAGAATTGACAAAGAATAAAAGAGCAGCACAGAAGTAGAGTTACAACACAGTAAGAGATCGGCATAATAAGACACAGATTCATACAATGAAAAGAGAAAGAGAACTGGGTTTTTCAGCAGATTGATTTGGGCAAGGGAGGTGAGCATGCACACTACAGTCCAAAAATAGAAAAAAAGACTAAGAAATCCTTTAAAAAATAAGAAAAAGCTTCAAGATGAGCTAATGGTAAAACAGAAATACCCAAGTATTAATGAAAATATTATTAAATAACACCTATCATTTATTATCTAGTCTAAAGACTATTCTTTTTATGACCACCTTTGAACTTCACAAGAACCTTATGAAGTTAGTTGGTGTTATATGGTTCTCTAGGTGACAAATGAGGAAATTGAGAAAGAGCAGGTCTCATAAGGCAGATCCAGGATTCAGATCAGTCATCATCTGCCTTCAAAGCCCAGGTCTGTGCCTGCAGTACCATTATGGATTTCTCTGAGCTTCAGGCACAGGACGGGATTTACCACCCCCAAATCAGTTCCCTTGCTGGGGCTTACCTCTTCTCAGACTAGAAACCCAAGTCCCTCTCCTCTTTCTTCCACAGAGCTGGAGTGGCAAATAGCATTCATGTGTCTGGCTGCAGGGGCACACTGAGGAGGAGGAGCAGCAGGAGGTCCATGTCACCTGTGCACTGTCTCCTCCTCTTTTCTTCTCAGGTCCTTGTCCCCAGCACAAGCTGGACTGTATCCTAAGGCACTACTCAGAGAAGAAACAGCCAGCATTGAAGAGCTGGTGAAGAACTGAACCAGATCAGAGTATTCACATAGCTCTAAAGATCATATGGAAAGTACACAGCGACCATAGCAAAGCTCAGGGGCAAGAGAAACAAGGTCAGGTAGTCAAACATCAGAATTTAGTAACTGATATCTAAAGGTGGAATGGAGATTAGAAGTGACCTTCTAAAAATCTATCAGGTGAATCATAATTTGGGATAAAAATACTGCCTGTAGAGGGATGTAAAAAATTAAACTTTTTTCCTTTCCAAAAAACAAAGTTCTTTTTGAAATGGAATCTTAGAATTACGAAGTAAGGGATAGTAAAAAGGATCATGTCTCTTTATTTTAGATAATAGAAAAGGAAATGAATTTTAAAAGCCCACAATATAAGTGGCAATCCAGAAGAAGATTCCAGAAAGTCTGCATTTTGTGTTGCAGGACTAAACAACAGTACTTTCCAAGTAATAAATGAACTTTTTTTTGGTCTTTTTTTTTTATTGGTTTAAGAAAACTGGTACCAATAGGTTACCAGAAAATGGCATCATCTGCAAGAAAAGAAAATTTATCCTAGTGAATATTTTCTCCCCCCAATATCCATGAGGTAAAAAGATTGAGAACTAGATCTTTTAACTCAGAGAACCGTACTTGCCTGGAGGATGTTAATAATAGAGGGTGCCACTGAATTGCTGTTTGGGGTTTGCGATCATCACATTCTGCTACTACCAGGCATTAAGGTAACAATAATAGCCCTGGGACGATTAAGCAAGTCCTACCTCCTGTCTGTTCCCTGCAAGCCTCCTGAAGTCCCCACAGGTTAAATATACTTCCTGAGAATACTTTCTTTTTATTATGAAAATGTTCAAACATACAGAAAAGCAGGGCCGTGAGTATAACGAGCAACCATGTACCTGTCACTTAGATTTAACACTTTGCCATATCTGTTTCATCTTTGTTTTGTTTGGTTTTTTGGCTGAAATTTTTAAAGTAAATTATAGGTATTATGACATCTCACACCAAAGTGCTTAAGCATCCATCATCACAGGGTACCCTTTCTTAAGCATTAGAGGTGCAGGATCATTCACATTGCTGGGGGAACGTTTCAAGGTGTTGTGCATATGGGCTCAGTCACTTCTCAACTGATGGAATCCAGCTGCCCCCCAGCCAGAAGTTAGTCAGGACATCACTCATAAGGAGAAAGTTTTGGGTGGAACTGAAGGAAGGTCTTAGCTGTATTCAAAACATTCCTGATTGATCTGGAAAGAGGAAAGCAAACAGCACATTAACTAAATTCTCAAGACACTAAATTGGGAAGTGTTATAAGCACTAATGATGCCAGAGAGAAAGTGCAAAACACTGGGAGGAGTTAGAAATTCACCTGAAAAATGTGTGTTCTTATTTTTGAAATAAAAATTGTTTAAAGGGGCCCAATATTATTTTGAACCAGTAAAACAATAGAACATCATGTCTGCAGATCATTTATTCACATGAAAACAGTTATAGCTATTGCCCCCATCATGTGGAGAATGGGAAGCTAGACTGGGGGCGGGGGTGGGGGTAGGCTGCTGTGATATACAGACAGATCCTCCCCCTCCACTGGGGCAGAACTGAGCTGGAAGTGTGTCAACCCCCGAGAGAACGTCTGGGGAGTCTTGTTGAAAAGCGTTGGCTCACTTATGCAGGGTGAGAGACAACTTGCAACAGACAAAGTGTAAGGAAAGCAGGTATCATTCCACTTGCTCTGTCCTTAGCTGCTGGGATCAGGGTGGGCTGACTGCTGATGTTCTGGACAAGAGGGTGAGCAAGGTGGTTGGTTAGTTGGCTTGCAGAGGTTAACCAGCTCAGTGATTCTGCCAAATGAAAGGGAAGCAGGCAAAATGAGTGACAGCACATTGCAGAATATTCAGCCTGTCTCAGTCAATGAATGAAATGAGTTTCCTATTTAAGCACAGCCTAGGCGGAGGCAACAGCTAGAAAACAAGGCCTGATTCCCATCCTGTGAATGGTGGACCCAACTGGGCACCCATCTGACTTCCCACACATCAGGAGGAAAAGCTTTCTTCTCCATACCCCAAGTGCACATCTGCATACCTTTGAACCATTAAACACCCTCACCTCCACCACCCCTTCCCCCACACCGTGGGCTTCATAAGACCAAGCATCACCTTTTTCTTTTCTGACATTGACATCACAAGGAATGAAAGTCTGTGTTGACTGGCACAGAGATGAAAATTGCTTTCATCATCCTGAGTGTGGGTGCATATTTTCTTCCCAGAGCGCCCCTTCTTTGGAAGAACACAATCTCTTCTGAGCTGCCTCCTCCAGCCTAACCCCTGGCCCTGAAGCCCAGGATCTGCTGATCGGCGTGAAAACACATGAGCTCACTGGAACTTATATAAGAGCTCTTGGCAGGCCTTGCTGGAGACGGGTGGCAGGCTCGGTCTCTGCACACTCGAGTTTGCCTTGTCTAGGAGACGTGGTTTTTCTTTGCTCTATCTCCTCAGAACAGAGAGGCCTAGCTGTTCATCAGTCGCTTCGTAGCAGGGAAGAGGAAACACAGTGTTTCTTCCTATCTCCCCATGATTAAAATCGGCCCCATTTCCTGAAGGGGAAAATATGACAAAATTTACTTGAACGTGTAGAGCTCCTCTCACGGAAGCACCGCCCCATCCTCAGCTGTTTCCTATGAGGGATCACACCATTTTGGGTCACCACAGAGGAAGGCCAAGCCTCCTTGACATCTCAGAGGACTCCCACTCACGTGTCCCTCTGAGCTGTGTGTAAGCAAGGCCTAGGGCAGAGGGAGACAGAAAATAGATGGAAATCCCATCTTCCTCCAAAGGGGAAAAGAAAGGGATGTGTTCGGAAACCTGCCGGAGAGTCCCAAATGTCTGCCATCTGCGGGAAATGGATCCTGCTCTGGCTGACCTGGTGAGAAGGCCCCTGTTTCCAGACCCCATTTTCTTGGAGGAGGAGGAGGAGAACTTTGAAAACCACACTCAGGAAACTCAGAGACATGAGGCGAGAAAGGAAGGAAAGGCCAAGAGCCCAGCCTCCAAATTCAGTGGCTATTGTGCATGGCTCCCAAGAGGAGAAGGGATGATTTTATGAAAGGATTTGGTTCTTCCCCTGCCACCTTGAAAGGAAAGTGAATGGGAAGCACGAGAGGCCATCCGCAGTGCCCCAATCCCCTCTGCTACCTCCTCACTCTGGCCCCTCTGGGCCTGATGCTCAGAGTTAGTCCCAGAGAAGATGCCAGGCTTGAGCCTGTGTTCCTTCTCATTGTCCTCTTTCCTGTGCTTCGCAGCTTCGTCCCCAGGGCGCTTCCTACCCACCCAGCACCGGTGGGGAATGTGCTCTTCCCTCTGCTCAGCATCGGACTTGTCTTACGGGCCAACTCTATTCCTACCCTGACGCCAATTAGCAACAGGGACCTGGGCAAGTCATCTTACATCTCCCTTTTCTCACATGTAAAATTAGGCTGGAAAGGATGACTTGCATTTCCTTATCGATTCTTCAATAAATGTTTTGTTTTTAAACCATGTCCGTGTGCTGGGAACTGAACCCTAACCTCCCTAACCTCTTCACACGGCTCAGTGCGGTTCCCCCACCTTTTCTCCATCTTTTCCCGTCACATTCCACTGGTCTCTACCTCCACCCACCCCCAGAGCTCACTTCTTCCTTTTTCTTCTTTTATTCTCGTGACATTTCTCTTCACTTCCCCACCGCCCAGATCCTATTTTTAGAGTGTTCGTACATAAAATCAGAGGATCAGAAGGGATGTTAAGGGGACACCTGCCCACTTTGTTACCTCCAGGCAAACTTGTGCTTAAAAGGCCTGGAGAGATCAGGGGACACACTCCAGAGCCCAGCTGCAGGATGCACTCTGGTGTCTGGCAAGTTCTCCTGCAAAAGATTGGCCTCGATGCTAACTTAAACCCCTCTGTTCAATACTACTCTCCTTTTCCTCTGTACCTCCTGAATCACACCACGGGCCTAATGCACCTTTGCAATTATAGAACTGTTGGGAAGTTTAATCCAGAATGATAGCATTGATTATCCTAGAACATAAAGGACAACAGGATCAGGAACAAAGAAGAGACAGTTAAGTGGATTTGCTTCTGTAAAATCAACAAAAACAAAACAAAAAATAACCAAAAACCCACAAGCATAATCCTACTGGAGTCCTAGTTTCTAACAGACTATCTCAATTAACATGGAAAGTCTACCAAGCAGGGAGTTCTGGAATCATAGTCCCCTTAGGTTGGAAAGGGCCTTCCTTAGATGTCTTCAAGTCCAGCCTTTTATGCCAAGTTGGTAGCCAGCATAGGAAACATCTGTGCTCTGTTTATAATTGAATAATGAATGGGGGTCATTCAGCACTGGATCCTCCATCAGCATATGCAAAATTCCTCTCCAAGTCATTTTCCCAGGCCCCTGGGCAGGACACCAGCCACGTATATACCCGGACAAGGCCCGATGCCCTGATGTTGCTGCTTTTGCTCTGTGCTAACTTGCCAAGGTAGTCTACAGTCTTGATAGAGGCAGTGTGGTCTAGCATGTGTGGGTCAGTGGACAAGGAGGCAGATCTCAAAATTGCAGCATTTTCTTTTTCTTCTCTAGATGGCAAGAGGCAGGCAACTTGAACTAAAGTGAAGAGGCTTCGTGGTAAGTTGCTGACCCAGCTTACAGCACAGATGTCCTCTTCTGTAGAATGGGAAGAAGTAAACTTTTATGCTTCTCTGCACTGTCAACCTCAAAGCTTGGTGGGTACCTCAGAGAAAGTGCTATTGTTAGCAAGTCGTCATGATTCCAAGAAGCCACTTGCTAAGGGGGTTCTGATGGATGTCTTTCTCTGTCTTTAGAGAACAAGTAATGCCCTCTATCTTGGAGAAGGCTGGCAAGTTTTCCATAGAGGCTGCTGTGGAAAGGAGTTATTTCATGTCCCATGCTGGGCTGAGGGAAGAAACCCTGCCTGGGAAAGCAAGAGCAGAAGCAGAAGTGGGCTCCAGTCCTGTCCCAGCCACGACCTGGACATGTCCTTCAGCCTCTGGGACCTCTCTCTCTCTCTCTGTCCAACAAGGGGGATCCAAAGACCTTCCCACTGCAGTGGTCTTCCTGTGCCTGAGTTAAATGCTACAGCCACAGGAGAAGAGGCAGGGTCTTTGTCCTTATGAGTCTCTCACCAGGCCCAAGGCTTCCCCCAGCCCTGCTGACCCAGGAGAGCCACTCCTAGCCCTTCAGCCAAGAATCTACTTTCCTTCCCTCAAGGATTGATCATGCTCAGAAATCAGCTGATGGGGGGTGGGGGGCAACATGAAAAAAACTCTACAAAGAAACCGCTTGGTAAGCTCTCCACCTGTACACACACTCACACACACATTCACACACACACCCAACCCCTGAAGTGTAAGCATTTTCCCTTCTGTGTATCAAACCTCGTTTGCCCTTTCTAACTGCCAGTGTGTTGGGAGAGAATTCAGTCCCCCAGTTGAAAAGCACTGCTCCCACCTGGGGAACTCAGCTGAACCTCAGTGTTTGGGGGGGTGACCTTGGGCACAGGTTGAAGCTAACAGCCCTAGCACACCTCAACTGTGGGCCAGAAATTCAGACTTTACCAGCCAAGCCTGAGGCAGTAGCTAATTAGCAGCCTGGCGCCAGGGCCCCGACCCTCCCCTCCTTGCCCTTCCACCCCCACTGCCCGCCCCCACCCATAGACATACTGCTCCGCAGCGGTGGTCCCCCACCGCAGCCTGCCTGTCCGCCTGCGTAGAGTGCTATGGACTTGTGTAATGCACTGTGTATGTGTATGCCCTGACTGTGGTTTACTGCAAATAAAAGTGACAGCAGGCGACTGACCTCTGACCTCCTGGTGGTTTCTTTTCATGCCACTGCTTGAGAAATCAGGATTGCCTGTCCAGCCACAGAGCACTGGGGATGTGCACGTTCTTCCAGACTCTCCTGTAACCTTTCCACAGTCGCCCACGGCCAGGGAGGTACTGCTGATATGCCAGGACTGGTAGGAGTTGGAATTCTCTGTTGCCACTTTCCTGGAGTTGAGGGAGGGGGAGAGGAAGCCAAAACCCCTATTAAATAAGCCCCAGCTAAACACTTTATACCCGTCATCTCACTGACATCTGAAAACCCTCCTGTGAAGTGGTAAGCGTTGTAAACGACGGAACAGAAGGCTCACAAATGGCAATTAACTTGCTCAACATATAACACAATGAGTAACCCAGTCCTGTCTATCTCAGACCCCAAAATTCATGACCTTTCATCTAGTGTCTTTCCAAGTGTGACCCACGGACTAGTTACATCAGAAACACCTGGGCTCCAGATTGCTGAGTCCTACCCAGACTTCCTGAATCGTGGTCTCTGGAGTGGGACTCTGAAACCTGACATTCTATGGGCTGGGACTGTAGACCGGGACCCTCATGCCCACAGAAGTTTGAGAACCATTGTAGCACACCCTGCTGGGAAGGCAGGGCCACTTTGGGAGGACAGAGACATGTCAGGGCTCTCTAACATGAAAAAGAAACCAGAGCCTACAGCAGAGCATCCCTAGACAGAAGAGGCTGGCGAGGAAGCAGGCCTGGAAAAAAAGGACAGTGAGGAGCAAGGCCATGGGCTTCACATCAGGGTTGCTGGCCCCTCTCCCTAGGATTTGGACCCAAGAACAAGTCCACCTGCTGGTCTCCAGGCCGAGGCTTTCCTGGGCCAAGGGTGCAAGGGTGGACCTAGATGTGGCTAGGCGGGGAGGTATGGGCTCAACCCAGCAGCCTCAGAGACTGGGCCTGCGATGGGGCAGCAGTCTCAGAGGACGACCATGGGTGCTTCGCAGCTCCTGTGGGACACTGCTGCCTCGTCAGCCCTACGCCTCCCTGCCCGGCCTAGCCCAGGCTGGCCCAGCAGGACGGTCCCCCTGGATTTGAAGAGCCATTACTGTTATCTCTCTAGGCTCTTCCTGCACAAACTACCAACAAGGCTCTAAATGCCCCAAATCTGAATCCTCTGTCTTCTACATGTCCCCGCTGTCACTCTCAGGACTGGGCAAGGACTCTGACCTCAGGGAACTGAACCAAAACTTTACTCATTCCTACCCATTCCCTCCTCCTTCCACCTGGATCTGCCGAGTTCTATTTTGTGCCGCAGAGTCTAGGTGGAGTTTTCCGAAATGATGGTTGGGGTGTCTGGGGTGGGGCGCCGTGAGACAGATGCATAATTGCTACTTGGGGGCAAAACACAATCCTGGAAATAGCTCAGCTGCCCACTCCACTGCACAGATTCGGCCGGCCTCTCACACTCCCCACCGCCACACTAACTATGCAGGAAAAAATATTTTTCTCAAGAAAATGGCTTTTCTAGAGTCAAGAAATCAGGAAAACACCTCCTGAACAGAATTTGCTATCACCAAATCAGCAAAGCACTTAAAGTATGAATCTGGAAAGTCATTGATGACATAGAATTCTTACAGTGAGAGTTTTCTTGAATATCTGTAGTTAACAAAAAGAATTGTGCAAACAAGGAAAATGCTGGTCCATCCAAGAACAAAGGCCTTTTGCAGTTGTGTTTGCATATTAAACAATAGCTAAGAATAAGCAGTGCCCGTTCCTTTGCTGCAGTATTTACAAGATCCTCTGACACGCATGACCATGTTCCTGCTCCTTCTCCCACTTAACAGGTTACCGTGTGCCTTTTAAAGGAACAAAACTGCTTTTGTTTTAAAATGTTCCTCCCTCCTACTTTCCATTAAACTGGACTGTCGATTATTATGGAAATATTTCTGAATCTAAAACCCTAAAATCGAGGGGGGGAAATGGGCATTTATTGAAACCTGAAAATCTGTACCCCCATAATATGCCAAAATAAAAAAAATAATAAAAAAAAAATAAAAAATAAAAAAAATAAAATAAAAAAAAATAAAACCCTAAAATCATTCTCAGAGGGAGCAGAAAGTCAACAAAGGCACCAAAAATAGTGAGGGAGGCAGATCAGAAAGACAGAGCAGAGAGACCAGAAGGAGATAACTGTGGTCTCAGAACTGGCCTAAACTCTTGGCCAGAGCAGGACTGGCCAAGGCAGCCACCTCTGCTTGAAGACTTCTGCTGATGGGCAGCTCACTCTTTCCCAAGAAGTCCATTTGGGAATAGCCCTCCGAGCTTCAGATAGGCTCCTATTACACCCAAATCTGCCTCCTCTTGGCTCCCACCATTGGGCCCTGGCTTGGCCACTAGCGACACAGAATAAATCTTTCCTCTCCTCTGCAGGACAGCTTTCAGATATTTGGAAAGAGCTACTTCGTCCTAGCTAAGTCTTTATTTTTTGTTTCCTCCAGACTAAACATCCTCCGAATCCTTAAATCATCCCTTATATGTGATGATTCTCAAACCCTAAACTATTCTTGCAAGTTTCTCTGAAACAACAACAGTTTGCCAAAGTCCTTCTTCAAATGCGACTCCCAGAACTGAGCGCAGCGCAGTGTCCCAGAAATGGTGGGCAAGTGCAGAGTTGCATTCCTTGCTCTGGATGCCACATTAGTTTTCTTTGGCAACCATCTCCCCCTGCTAATTCATCCTGCTCTCACAGCCAGCAAAATCTCCTAGCCTCTTATGAATGATAATAACTACCATTGGTATCATTAGTTTCAGCAACATGCTCTCATTTGTTCCTCACAACAGCCCAGTGAGGCTGATTAAATATGAAGAAGCTGAGGTTTTCCAAGTCTGCCCAGCCAGGCCTCAAGGCCCAAGTCTGTGATTCCAAATTCATGCTCCTCCAAACACACCCTTGTTGCCTTTTGACTTGAACCATTAGTAAGGCCAAGAAAGGTCTCCCTAGCTTCATTTGTTAGTGCCTATGCAAAATTGGGATTTTTTTTTTCTGTTCCATTTTGTCTTGTTAACTTCTACCCATCCTTTAACCTGTCTATCTCTGTTTCTGTTATAGTAAAGGGAAGACACAGGGTCAGAGAGAGAAGGTAACAGAAAGGGATAAGGAACCAGACAGGAGGAGCGTTTGGGAGGGAGGCAAAGGGAGGAAGCATCTCAGAGAAGAGTGGGCAGTGTGGCACAGCAGGTGCTGTTGGACTGGGTCCCAGTCACTGCCCACCTTGGTTGGCTCTGTGCCCCCTTTGCCTCTCTGAGCCTCACTTTCTGAGGAGGGGGCTCAGAAATGAGACTAGTCTATTCCCAAGCCCTTTCTTTCCCAGTTCTATGAATGTAATGGGTAGAAAAGCTGTTTTCATTAATTCAATGGTCCCTGTCTCTTTTAATCTAGTGAAGATGTTGAAAATCAGACTTCTCTGCAATATTTAGCATGATTTCCCTTTGCTAAAATAGGGAAAAGCAAAGATGGCTAGGGGCCATGGCAACAAGTAACATTTATTATATCTGATGTCCAGCCCTTTTTTGGAGGGGGTGGATCACAACAGCTGCTTCTCAAGATACAGGACTCAAGACTAAGAAATATCAAGGGGGCTGAACAAGCAGCTCAGCAGCCATGTCACTGATACGGTATCAGTGGACCAGGCACCCCGCAATGAGCAAGCCTTTCTACAATGGCCACTTGAACCCTGTGTGGATGGAGAGAAGCTCCTACTCGGTAAGCATCTCTCTCGGGCCTTCCCAGGGAGGCCACAGGATAGACATTCTTTGATCCTCACTCTAAGATAGTAAATATCATCCCATGTTTTTATTCTTCTAGACCAGTGCTGTCCAATAGAAATATAATGTGAGCCACATATGTAAGTTTACATTTTCTAGTAGCCACATACAAACAGTAAAAAGGAGCAGGTGAAATTAATTTGAATAAAATAGTTTTAACCCCAACATATCCCAAATATAATCATTTCAACATGTAATCAATATAAAACATTATTAATGAGGTACTTAACATTTTTTTGGTACTAGGTCTTCAAAATCCAGCATGTATTTTATACTTACAGCACCAGCCTATGGTTGGTGGCTACCAGATCGGACAGAGATCACCTAGAGGTGACTCCATGGTGTCTGGTACTTCCCCATCAGAGTACTTGTCAAACTACATTGTACTTGGCTGTTTTCTGATCTGTATTACTCATCAGACTGGGATCCTTGGGTGGGCAGGGACTGTGGAGTTAACTGGTATGTTCCCAGCTGCCAGTGCAGTGCTTGGCATAGATATAACAGGCCTTCGATGAACACTTGACAAAGAAGCAAGCAAGGGAAGAATACAAGGTCACGTATATGACCAGTATAGGGGATAGCTCTTGGGTTTGAGTCTATGCCTATCTGATAATAAAACCCACCATCATTTCACTATACAATGCTGCCTCCTAAACTTCAGGAAGCATTACAAAAAGAACATGGTTTTTGGTGCCAAACAAACTTGGGTTCAAATTTCAGCCAGGTGACCAGTGATGGGGAACTCGGTCCAGAGGTTATTTCAGTGGTTTTGTTACCTCTCATATCCCTGATTTCCTCATTCGTAAAATGGGGATGATAACATTTATCTCATAGGTAACTGTGAAGATGACATGAAGCAATATGACTAGTATCTTACAAACATTAGATTTTTATAAATGTTGGCTTCTTTTCCCAGCCTAATAAAATGGAAATAAATCATTCTTATCTGACCAAGTTTTAATCATGCAGCAGCTTTGACCCTAACAAGAAAGGGGAAAGTAATAAAAAGCAAACCGAAATTTGAGAAAGGGAGCCAGCTCCTACCATCTGCCTCCTTGTTTGTTCTTTAAAAAGGTCCACAAAATGCAGATCTATGAGGGCAGCCTATGCATGGTGGGAAAGCTAGAGATCACCTTGCTCCGCCAGTAGGTACATACACACTGCACTTTCTTCTAACAGGTGCCTCAGGGATTCCAAGGTTTAAACCTCCTCCGCCCCAAGTCCAGCAGAACCTACCTTGCTATACTGAGAGCTCAGGAGGCTGGAAACTCTAAGAGCTGTTCCTGGTGCAGGAGCCCAGGTGGAGAAGGGGCCCAGTAAATGCGCTGAGATACGGTCACATGGCCCTTCCCAGAGTGGAGGCCCAGTCCTGGCTGTACTTTGGTGCCCAGAGGAGAAAACAGTGCTTTTCAACCCAGTATTCTCACACGAGCTTAGGAAGGACAGCTGAGGGGTGCAAAACTGTTGTCTCTTGATTAGAAACTATTTGTCAAAGTTAAAAACTCTTTCCTAGCAATTGCCCACCATTCACTCCTCCCCTTGCACACCCCCTCTGGAGTTTTCCTGTCTCCGTGGCTTTGTTGGCATAGCTCCCCGCCCCCACCCAGGGTCGCTCCTCCTCCACAGCGCTGCCCAGTGAGACGGCCCTGCCCCGTTTCCAGCACCATCAGGACCACTGCGCACACACACACACACACACACCACCGTCACTAGCACACACACACATGTTCTCCACCACCACTTACCTCACACACACACTAATGCCACACACACACACCATCACTACCACACACGTATGTATTTACCACATACTTACCACCACTACTCACTACATCCACACATGCACACATCACACTCCCACACACACACACACACTCCCCACACCACACACACACACTCCCTACATCACACACGTATATATTTACCACATACTTACCACCACTGCTTACTACATACACACATACACACACACTCCCCACACCACACACCCTCCCCACACCACACACACCACCATCACTACCACACACGTATATATTTACCACCACTACTTACTACATCCACACATCCACACATCACACTCCCATACACACACACACACTCCCCACACCACACACCATCACTACCACACACGTATGTATTTACCACATATTTGCCACCACTATTTACTACATACACACATGCACACATCACACTCCCACACAGACACACACTCCCCACACCACACACACCACACACCATCACTACCATCATTACTATAGCCACACACATATTCAGCACTGCCACTTACTACATACATACATACATGCCCATACACATAACCACACGCACACAGAGGCACATACACATCACGACACGGCACACACCCGCTTGCCCCGCTATACACAAGCAGAATAATTACCCACCTCAGAGCACTTTATCTCCAGAGTTCTGAACACTCTTATCTTTGTCACCTTGATTAGAGTCATTAATATACAAACACTTCTTATCTCCCCTTGATTCTCTCTTCATTTCTGCAACCTCCGTTATAGAGCTGGGTACATGGTTGGGGCTCGGAAAATACTTTTGAATGAATTAAACAACTCAACTAATCTATCCATATTTGGCTGTAGGTGCTAAACGAAGGGACCAGGGAGAAGCAGTGGTATGTAGCCAGTTGTGCAGGCACCGAGCAGGCCTGGCCCGGGGCTGGGGGCTGTCTTTGGCCCCACTCCCTCAGTCTCATTCCAAGGGAAATATTTGTTCTGTGAGCAAATAAAATGTGAATATGTTCTAATCTGTTGCAAAGATACACAGAGCTGCCTTCAGCCTGATGCTTAGATCTCTGAGGGCACTTCAAAGAACTGCAAAAACAAAATGTCCTCAGTAGAAAAGGAAAAATGTAGCCCTTCCCTTCCCAGAGAGAAAGGCAAATGACAAGTTTTCCCTTCAACATTTGTAAATAAAATCTGCTGTGGGCCTGTCAGGACCCCAAACACGACAGGTAATCACAGGCTTCTCTTTCCTATCATCCTGCAGCCTTAGAAGTGCCAAACCTGGGATTTGAAAACACACAGACACACACTCACACCACACCTCGTCACTTCACATCCACGTTTAACTACTGAGGGAGAGCCTAGCTCCCAGCAGTGTGTGTGTTGAGCCACATCTTGGCGGTCTCCCTGGCCCTCTGAAGCCAGCCTCTGCCCACCCACGGACCACGTGCCCGGGGCCTGTGCAGGGCCTGTGCGCCTACATTTTAGCAAACATACGCAATGCTTGAAGAAGCCAGGAAGAAACAAAATTTCTAGTTGCAGAAAATGAGAAAGAAATCTTTGTATTTTGTTTGTTTCCTACGAAGGAATTCTTAGAAGTTCAGAACCTTCCATAATAAGCTGTCATCGGATACACTTGTTTCCGAATACGGCCTCAGGTTTGATTGCAGGGTGTCTGAGCTTCTGACAGAGGGACGCAATGTTTCAGCGCACCCTTAGCCCGGCCCTGTCCCTTTTCCCAGGCTGTGGCAAAAAACCATAGCATGAACCATCAGTCATGGAAAGCCAATGTGTGCAAATTAAATCATTTATGAAATACCTGAAGAGAGATGGTTTAAGATCCCTGCAGTTGATTCTGAAAATATAACCCAAGACTTCCCCTTCTTGTCCCTGTTCTGTGAGTGCAAGTTTTCTGTGTTGAGCTGTCCTGAGGTCAGGCACCCCATTTAGAACTCTGGCTTGGAAACAAGCCTTGGCCATCCCATAGGACAGTCTGAGCTGCCATTTTACTGACTCTTACTTGATGTTTGAGTCCTCTCAACAATCTGCAAGTGAGAAATATTGGTGTCGTCATCTGCCTCATTTTGTAACTGGGGAATCTGAAGCTCAGAGAGGCCAAGCAATTTGCCCAGGTGCCCCAGCCAGGGTCAGAATTCTGCTTTGCTGACTCCCACCCTTACTTCTGCTACCTCCGGTGAATTGCTTCACCAAGGAAGCCAGCCTGCACGGGACTCCAGGAATAATATTCCTTCTCGTGTATTATTCAAAGCAACTGCTATTCTCTACCTCATTAGATCCCCTATTTGTTAATATGGGTAATTTAATTTAAAAACCACACAATACTAACCCAGTCCATTCAAAAGACGTTTTGAAAACCTCTGTTTCCTTTGAAAATGGATTGATTGGCTTTTAGGGTCCTCCATTACAAAGTGGAATTGCAAGAGACCTCGCTGATGTGTTTACAACATCCCTCTGCTGAGTGTTATACACCCCCACCACCCCCACCACCCCACCACCCCGCCTGGATTCAGACTGACAGTCACTGGGGCAGCCCTCCCTTGGCTGACAGCTGTCATTCACAATGGTAAGCCGGCTGTCCTACCCTCACCTGCCAGGGGGCAGCAGGGTCTAGCCAGATCTCCTACAGTCAAATCTATACTGAAATTTTCACACACACACAGATATATATGGTAGTGTTGTTTTTAACCTCAAGAAATTGGAAACAGCCTAATACTCAACACTAGGGCAACAATTAAGTAAATGATAGTATAGGCATAAGAAGGCATATTAGGCAAACCTTTAAAATGGAGTTTTGAAGTGTTTAATGCCCTGGAGGCAGTCCTATGATATAATACTAGGCAAAATGCAAAGTTATATATTAAAAAATATCTTCATTATATGAAACAGCAAAAAAAAAAAAAGACAGAGAGGAAATATGTTTAAATGTTAACAGTATTCATTTCTAGAATGATGGATGCTTGTTAGTTTAAATCATTTCTGTGTTTTCCTAATTATACACAAGGGACATATAATAATTTTTATAATTTGAAATTTTTGAAAAATTTTTTTCAAAGACTAAACTCCCAGTTTGGGTGAATTAAGAAGACTGAATAAAAAATTAACAAAAACAAATGCTTTTGGAGAAAGTACCAAAAAATGAGATTACTAAATATCTGAAACTTCTCTGATTGGAATTAGGCCATAAATTAAAAATGTTTAAGTATCATGATAGATAGGCACGCCTGCCAGTTGAAAGAACAATTTTACTTCCTATTCTACTCCCTTACAAGTAACTTACCAAATCTTTTAGAACAACAAATGTAACAGCCTGCAGGATTCTGTTACTTGCCTACCATGGACTTGGGTTCAAAATGGCTTGACTCTGTCTCTACCATTCCTGATCAACCCTGATGAAGGGCTCTTGGAAGAATCCCTGATGGGGGAGAAAGGGGTCAGGGGAGGGGGGGAGCAAATAGGAGCCTCCTCTGCCCCCCACTTCCCTCCCTCCATACCTGGTGTGGAGCTTAGTCAATTACTCACTGAAGGAATTTAAAACTCTGTTGTCCCTACTCTATCCAAGCTAGCAGTGGCATAAAACAGTAGCAGAAGGACATGCCAGGTTGATTCCAAGGCACTCAGAGTGCACCTAGCCCACAGAGAGCCTTTCCCTGTTCTTCCTGTGGCCCCAGTCCTGTTTCTCTGCATTTTGGGGTGTTCTGGGCCAGGACAAGGAGGCATCTAAAGAATGCTTTCTCTGATCCTTCCATCTCTTTGTCCAGGTTCTGGGCTGCTCTTCTCTCACCTTTCTGCTCTGATGTCCTTTAACCCATCCTTCACACCCATCAGACCTGTCTTCCCTAAATTTCTCCTTCCCACTTTTCACTCCCCTACTCTAGAACTTACTGTGGCTCCCTCTTGCTTGAAGAATCAGACCCAGATTCCTCAGATCCCCAATACACAGCCCCACCCAACTCCCTCCAAACTCACCTTCCTCTGCCTTACCACTATCCCCACCCCCCATCCCTCCACTCCGCCCCCCCCCATCCCTCCACCCCCACCCCCAGCATCCAGCCCTGTCCTCCCCATCCTGTAGGCTGTATTTCGGTGGCACTCAGAAGTTCCATTAGCTGGAAAGAAATGTTCCTTCACTAAAAAAGAATAAAGAAACCTTGTCCAGATTATGCTTAAAGATACATTTTTCTCAATGTTAAGTTTTTCCCATCAATTTTTGTTAAACCTTTGGCACCAGCAGCTCTGCCTATCTCTAGTGAGAGCCCACAGATGGCGAGGCGAAGGAACAAGTCCCGGGTGAATAATCATGGAAAAGCCTTGGGAACAACCCATCACGCGTGTGTCCTGCATCAGCTTATTTCACAGACATGTTCTCATGGTTGTGGTTTTATATGTACATATAAAATAAATTCCCGTTTTCTACTAATAAAATTGTTCTTGATTCATGCAGTAGAATTATATACTGCATGCTTTAGTGATAGTCTTTTTAAATATATATATATATATATATGTATATATATATATATATAGTGTTCTACTAAGAAAATTATGATTGCAATGAGCCAGGACATATCAGTGACTTTTGCAAATTATTTTTTCAGACACATCACACCCCTTTTCCCACAGCATATCACACACTCATGCACATTTGTGCCTTTATCATACCGTACTTCCTATGATCTTCATGCCCCCTTTCTTAGACAACAAATACTTGGGCATTCTTGCAAGATCCTTTCCTCCATGAAGGCTTTCTGAACCTCTGTCCTGAGATCTAACAGAGCTCCTTTAGTTTCTTCAGAAATCAATGAGGAAGAGAGAAACACTAGATGTCAGAGAAAAGTAGATGAGAAGAAAACAGTGAAATCTACAAGGGAAAAAATATAATATCAGGAAGGATGGTGTGGAACTCTTTAATCTATTCCAGAGAATATCACTGTGGATCCTACTGGAAAGGTCAATGCTGGTCATGCAAGGTTAGCAACTAGCGAGTGGATTCGTGCAGAGAAGAGGGGAGAGAGCAAGGTGTATTACATTTCTATACTTTTCCAGACACTCCACTGGGTGTTTTTCAAATATTCTATTTATTCCTCTTGGAAACTTTAAGGCTTGCATTATTATCCCTATTTTACAAATGATAAAACTGAGGCTCGGAGAGGTTAAATTATTTGCTCAAGTTCATCTGCTTAGCAAGTTGCAGGGCCAGGATGGAAACCCAGTTCCACTGCCCACACCTACTAGGCACCGGACATCTTCACATACTATCTCACTAAACAGGAAAAAGACTCTCTGAGGCAGGAGTTACTGTTCCCAAGTTTCAGATAAGAGCCTGATATGCAGAGAAATAAAGTGGCCTGAACCAACAGTCACCAATTAGTGATGATGGAGTTGAGATGGGATCCTAGGTTTTTGCTCCAGATCATGCTCTTACCACACCCCAGCTACCACAAAGGAAGCGCAGGTATAATTTAATAGGAGCTTCAAGAGAAGACAGCAAATCTGGGAAGCAGGGGGAGGTAGCTTAACCCACTGAAGATCTTTGAATAAATAAAGAGCTTCTTCCAGACATGAGTCTATAGAGCTATTACCATATTACCATATGGATTACCTAGTTACCATTTACATTTACAAGGTGTACACATAGTTGTAAATGAATGCTACCCACATTCCCGTCAGAAACGTGTGGGTTGGAATGGGTAAAACATGGATCCTGTAATGAAAAATTACATCTTGTCATTGAAGGTTGTTTAACATATAGGGAGGAAGGGGAAGACCATATTTGGCTTTTAGGTTCTATGACAGAGACAGACTCTGTTGGAGCAGGCCTTGAGGTCAGCTTACGGGTTCAAGATGAGCATTCCTAAGTGGGAAGGTCTTTCTTGGCTGCCTAAAGGAGACCCGCCAGGTGCACTAGGGTCTATCTCAG